GATATCTTCGTGAAAAAGAGTACCAAGCTGTTCAGATTTGTCCAGCCGGCACCAGAGCCTTCCTCCTGGCGACTTGACTGACAGGGATTGACGACCGTTACTTGTGTCATCAAGCTGGTTAGCAAGTCTCATTTACGGATATTCCGTTGCATTGAGTGTATGGCTTATTTCGCCAAGAATTACGCCGTGTGAAATGCAACCAAATTGCCCAGCTCAGCGAACAAGCCAAAGACCATCTACGCCACCGAGCTACCGACATTCTCCTCTATAGAAACGAAATCTGTTTCAAAATACCTGAAAGCACAAGCTTCACTCTCTAGAAAATGTGTTATTTAAGCAGTAATTCAAAAAATATGTTGAAGGAATATTTTTATATCCATAACAGTTGTTTCCACAACGTACGAGGTGTACTGCGTTTTATTTCAGCGGAAAAAGACTGAAAGATTTAGAAAAACAAGTAATATCAGAATTAACATGTTAGTGGTGAGAATATATGACGAAGAGTGACGTACTTCATTCATTGCTGGATCCACCTCAGCTGAAAGAGGTAGCCCAATCTTACAGTAAATAATCGGGACCAGATCAAATGAACGATTCATTCAAACCGATCTGCAAGCTACTCTGGTATGACCAGGAGACTTAACTGAATACTAGCTGGACCCCTCGTTTAGCGCACTTTCCAACTTAACGTATTGCAAACAGGACCTCTCATGTTTCAAAGTTCTGGCCAAGGCGTTGCGCTATATTTTCTTGAAGGAATATTATTCACAATATTGCTGGAAACTCTCCGTCAAATCACAGTCAGTTTCGCTGTTCCACAAGCTTATCAGCTAGGCACGGTCCACGGGTTTCCTTCAATATTGTGTTTCACCTGAACCCTGGATGTGGAGAACTATCGAAGTATGTTTATTTCAGGTATCCACCACCCCTAATAGGAACCATCAGTGAGACATGGTCAGTATTTTTGCTCTTGTGGGGAGAGGGCTGAGCTACAGCTTACCAAGCCTTTGGCCGGTGTGCGTGATTCCCTTTTGATCTCAGCCGGTCCAAGGTGTAGTTTCTTGAGTTTAGGATGGCAGTGGAGACAAAAATGATCACTCTTCACAAAACCTCAGTATTTAACGTTTCCATTGTGATTTTTTGCGTCATCTTCGAACCAGTCTGTTGTTTTGTTATCATTCGTTCCCCGTACTTTCTTCCGGGCTGATTAGTTGATATTTCCATGTTTCCTCAGTATACACAAATTGCTTGAGTTACTCAATTTGGTATGCCGCAGTCGGGTATCATATCTAAGTCAAACATAGTCCAATAAGAAAACTTGGCCCTCACTCGTAGTCGTGTGCTAGGGGGAAGCACGGTCAAGCGACCAAAATGATAAAAAAAAGCTAGTTCTGATTATCGACACTTTTTTTCTCGATTACCATTAAAACGGAACGTACAAATCAGGCCGCAGCATGTTGCGGTCAGTCTGCTCGAGACAAACATTATAGGACTGCATAATGTCACGCAGATTTGAATGGCTTTGAGAGGAAGGCAGTGCGACCAACATATGCTTACTGTATGTCACGACATTAGCTAACGTCATTTCATTTTCTTTCTTGTCATTCAAATGTAATGATTGGGATGATTTCTAGAAGCAGCGGAAATAACTGCCTCGAGCTGTTTTGTGGAAGGATCACTTCGCCGCACAGAAGAACGGAGTCGAAGTAGTCTTCGCTGTTCACGTCGTTCGTAAGTTCAAACCTAAGGGGGTCGCATTTGATAAACCTTTGAGAAACTCCCAAGGAAAGGTAGCTATATGCGAGGGCGAGATGACCCAAGTGGTTCGAATGTCCGTGGTTCGAACCTGACTTCCGTCTCTCGACTTCCCTTGTTTAGTCTTGGGCAACCTGGCAGTATCCCAACCCTCGTGTTTCCTTCGGGTGGCATGGCAGCTAGGGACCGGAAGGGTGCTAGAGCTGAACGCTTTCTTTTTTTCTTTTTTATAGCTATATGCGCTTCCTAGTCATTAATCACTGAGGGAGAGTGCCTAACTTACTTGTTGTGCAGCTGAGCAGGAAACTGTCACTAACCTGAAAAGACGATCCGAGTTTCACACGCTCTGTGCAGTTATCTTCAGGAAAGTAGGTGTAAGAATCTTCTCGATTTCGTTATTTTCTGCAGTTAATCATTCTAAGGAGAGTTACATTAGTTGGACAGTAACCCGTAGTGTTTTGCTCCAACAGACTGAAACTTCGGCATTTTAATTCCGCCTAACTCCCTGTGAAGCCACTGTCGAGGTCGTTGACCACCAAAGCCGGTACAATAACCACAGATTTGTCCTGTCATTGGACGGCTCAGCTCATCAATACTTAGACGTCTTTCCAGCAGTGGTCGAGTATCCCTGAACCTGTTCTCCAAGGTAGGTTCAAAGATTTGTTCACATGCGCCCACTCATGTGAAGAGTAAGTTCAGTTGTTAAGACCCCTGGTCAGTACCAGAGACTCGGATCGCAGTTGCCCAATACGTTGAGGCTACGCCTGCAAACCTCTTTGTGGATCATGGATAAAACGAAATTAATCGTCATGCTTGATTGCCGAAAAAACAGTTGGTATCTGTTTATTAGTTATAGGATGACAAGTGTCCGGCTTTTCCTGTGACTTTTGGAAAGTTTCCCATATTGTTCTTTATTGCCCGCTATACTGTTGCCTAATTATATACGTTCCCATGGATGGTCCTCATTTGTTACCGATGTGCGTACTATTCCATCAGTCCATAAAATATGTGTTTGATAGACATGTCTTATGTTCGTTAGTCATCCTTTAGAACCATCAAAAAGAAAAACCAAGTTAAGTGAATCTCACTTTATATGGAAGCGTCTGCCAGGTTAATGAAACGAAAATTTTGTCATCCTATGGTCCTTGTATGCATTGGTATTCTAAGGTTGGAGCGATGACCTTGTTACGGACACGGCCAACAATACAAACAGAGGAGTTTTACTCGCCAGGTCAGGTGCACATCCTCAGTCACCTGCCACATACAATTAATGTCCTTATCACAATACACGCCCTGGCAACCCGACTACATGCTTAATAAGCCAAAGGTTAACATGTTTGGAAATCGAGGAGCAACCTAAAGACCAATCCAAATGAATTCTACTTACTCTGGTCATTACATGACACGCCAAATTTTCGAGAAATACACTCATTTACAAATTAATTTGGTTTTCACGAGAGACCCAACTGAATCTCTCGTTCATGACATTCTACAACTGAATGTGCTGCACACAGGCCGCCAGATGTTTCAGTTGACACGATATTCGAGATATCGCAGTATATTTTCATAAAGGAAACTACTCACAAGTTTGTTGACAACTCTTCGACAGCCTACGACCGGTTTCGCCCTTCATGGAGCTCATCAGTGTATTTCTCGAAAACAGTCCAATTTGGGTTCAAATAGAACATAAGGTTGACGGAAACTCGGGGACTGCGCCTACCTGATGAGCCACAAGAAGGGCGAAATCGGTCGTAGGCTGTGGAGGAGTTTTCAGTAACCTTGTGAGTAGTTCATTCATGAAAAAGACACACTAAATTGTTGAGAGTAGATCCAGAAGGAATGTGAATTTTTAGATTTCGACATTAACGGAGAATTATCCTGACAATTGCGTTTCGTGAATAACATCGGACCGGGATTCGTGACTTCCTGGTTTGGAACATCTACGCTTTGTTGTTTTCCGTAGACCAGGAACTAAAACTTTGAAAATTTTTTGAAAGTTCAGCTCGGAAAGCAATGCAGAGCAATTACTGACAGTCTACTAACGGTTTACCCGACTGATCAGGTAAGTGTTTTGAAATTATTCTTTGTTTCGGTTACTGCTAGCGGACTCAAGGCGGTGATTTAATGATTAGCGTCCACTAAGTTCCCTAACCCGGAAACTGTCACCTGTACGACGCTTGGGTGGGGCAACAAGATTTTTCAAAATCGTTCTAAAGGTTCGATACAGCTAGTGTTCCTTTAAGGTTACCTACCACTCAGTAAAACCATCGATGTGCGGTCTGCATCTTCACTTTTATGAAACGTAATTATCTTGGACAGGATCTCGATCCACCCCACTCCTGTTGCCATCATTTGACTAAGAGTAGGTAATCGTTCAGCTGTAGTACCCTTTCGGGGCCCAGCTACCATGCCACCAGAAGGAAGCACGAGGTCTGGGATACTGCCAGATTGCAGAAGCCTAGACTGGGAAAATCGAACGGCGAACCTTATGGTCAGTAAATTCGCGCTCTAACCACTGAGCCGTCTCTCCCTTGCTGTCAATATGCTGGTCTTGAGAGGGTTTCATTGATTAAAGAGTACTGACGAACCAGTATGATCTTCTTGCATCTGTCTGCCCCAGAGTTTCATCTTTTATGTATGGGTTAGGTCACTTAATGGATGTCATTGCTATCTTATTGTTTTTAGTAGGACCGGGCATCTCCGTGTTTGTCAAGCATAAGGCCTAAATTATAAACACCGCCAAACATAACGGTTCTGGCTTCGAAGAACCAAGAATTTCGAGCAGTCATTGTGCACAAGAGGAATAATCCTTTTGAAGTTGCGAAAGCGAACAAACGGGCCCTTGTATTTGTGCAAATGACACATTTCGAATGTTTATTGGCACAGTCAGCTATTTACTTATTTAAATAGTCAACTAACTACTCATGATTAGTCAGAATATTTCACCTGACCTTTCCATTAGTGAATCACACTTCCTAGGGTTGTGTTTCGAAATTACAATTCATGTTTTACTGCACAAGAATAGTGATTGAGTAGTTCTTATTGACAACCAGTCCGTGTAGAAATTTGAAAATGAATAAGTTTTAATCAAGAAATCATTTATTTTCTTTTTTTCAAAAATCTAGATCCCATTTTCCAATAGACCGTTCTGTCATCCTCGTCCATCTTGGTGGTCTTTTTCATTTCTCGGCCTTGTTCCATTTTCGATGGACTGTTTCCCACACGTCGTTCCGCATTTATACGATTTATGATCGCCTCATTCCTGGTGGACTGGAACCTTCAGAGTTCACAGCTTGAAGTATACAATGGTGACGCACAAAATACCACCGATTATAATGGGAGGCAGGAAACTGTGGTTCCAACGGGATACTTGCGTAACCTGAAAGAATGATGAAAAAGATGTTAAGACCTCCAATTCATTTCACAAGGATGAGCAATAAAAATGCCTACATGCTGCGCAGTTACATCCAGGAGTGATGAATCTCACAGTTCTGCTGTTGAACAACTGGGAATTATGCTGTTTCAGTCCTAAGTAAAGTGATTGAATATCTCTTTTGTAACGAACATCCTGGAGTTCCATCAAACGATGCTGGTCGTTAAAACATACTGTCAGTGGAGTAATAAAATGCTCTCTTTGTAGCATACAACAGGATAAATCTAGAGTGACACATCAAGAAATACGCTGCTGTTACTAAAAAAGGAAGTTGGCTGTTCACTGCCCCACACTAGATAGGATAGACACTATGGCAAGTTTTACGTAACTCCGTGCACACATCTTTTAAACCATGGAATACACAAGACCCTGTGTTTTGCCGACATCAATTGTACTGCCGGTGTCCAAAAGAAAACAACTTGTTCGCTCCACCCCAAGCACTCTCGTGCCCTCATTTTGTATGCATGTATGTGTCCTGTTATTTGCTAACGTAGACTGTGTAGTCTCGCATTTTCGCTTCTGGACAGCACCACCTGCATATAACACCACCACCATCGCCCTTATCATCGTCGTCTGGACATTCGAGGCCCGACCTAGGTGGTAGACCACCGTCGTCTCATTCACTTTTAGATAATATGCCTTGAGTCAACAACATCACAGCAGCATCCCCAACGATTCGAACAGGAATGGAATTCGTCAGGTCATGGGGAGTCTGAAAGTCCGACAATAACGGCAGAGACGACGACACATCTATCACTGATTTTGTGGTTTGAATTACACGCCCATAATGACTCAACACATTTGTCTGTTTCCCGCGCATTGGAAGACAGCTAAGTCATCGGACCATGTTGATGAGTCATGAAAATGTGTGCGATGCGCGTATACACACCTACAAAAGTGCGCGCGTGAGTGGGCGGTGGACGAAGGCGACGATGAAAAATGTTGCTTTTATTTGTTCGGCCATCTTGTAAACAAACGTAAAAAGTTAATGGTCTTCTTCAATGCTTCCGATGTACGGAATGGCTGGATCATTCTTCTTGTTGCCTTAGGACATGGTCATAGGATGAAATGCGGAGTAATGTTTTAAGGATTAAAGTGTTTAAATCAATTCATGGTTGTTGCGCCATCAGCTAAACAGGTGCATCTATTTTTCATAAAGGGAACTACTCACAAGGTTGCTGAAAACTCTTCGACAGCTCACGACCGGTTTCGCCCTTCTTGGGGCTCATCAGGTAGGCGCAGTCCCCGAGTTTCCGTCAACCTTATGATTTTACTTGAACCCAAATTGCACTGTTTTCGAGAAATACATCATAAACGAGAGATTCAATTGAGTCTCTCGTGAAAACCAAATTGATTTGCAAATTAGCGTATTTCTCGAAAACAGTGCAATTTGGGTTCAAGTAAAATCATAAGGTTGACGGAAACTCGGGGACTGCGCCTACCTGATGAGCCCCAAGAAGGGCGAAACCGGTCGTGAGCTGTCGAAGAGTTTTCAGCAAACTTGTGAGTAGTTCCCCTTATGAAAATATACTGCGATATCTCGAATATCATGCCAACTGAATCATGAGGCGGCCAGGTGAACCTTTTGTTTTAAAATTTTTAAATCTGAGACTATTAGAGGTATTTTTAAGGAACGGTTAGATGCATCGGTAAGATGCATAAATGTTAGTTTTGAAGTTATTTCAAGACGAACAAAAAAAACAAAAAGGAACTCAGGACGGATCGTGAACAGTATTTTGGTTTCAGGGTTTTAATGAAGGTCTTGCAGCCCGAAAAGAGACGACAGACTCGGCCAAAACAAACTCTAGTGGGTTCGAACCACTTGTAAGACACAGCCCGTCATCCTTCCTCATTATTAGACAATCCGAGGTGTCGACAGTGGACAAGATGAAACGGAATCAGAAGCACTGCTAATGGACAGAGTCCGTTTGTGTTTTATGTTCTAATGGCTCAGACTCTGGTCAGCGAAAATCAGTTGGTAAACGCTCCATAGAAAAGAATGTCCCAAGTTTTGATAAATATATCCTTTCAAAATGCTGCTTAGCTCTGTTTAGTTAATCAATGAGTGCACTTCGTCATGTTAACTGGCTGGGTTTAAGTCGTTCCAAAGTTGGTTACCTAAAATGTAATGACAACATACGGAAATTGCTCTCAAGTTTTTCTCAAATTATGTTCAAGTATCAACTGGCACTCGGCTATTATTTTCAGCACGTCTTTGAAGAATGCACTAGCAGTGAGTATTTTCTTCTGAGTCTAAGAATCCCGTCGTATTCACTTCCACTGTTCTGTGGCTGCGTCCGTTATACCCAAAGGAAAATAAGGCCATGATACGTTGCTGTACACTACTCATAAGGTTGCTGAAAATTCTTTTTAAAGTGTCATAAACGAGAGATTTAGCTTGGTTCCAGGTGAGTCTCTCGTAAAACCAAAATGGTTTGCAAATGAGTGTATTTCGCTAACTATGACAAGCTATTCGTCCGGAACTGATTCGTGCGAACCAACTCAGAGCGACGTGGTCTTCTTGTTTTTATTGTTTACTTCCAGTTGCAGGTAAGATATTGAATTATACGGCTCAAATTTTCTTGCTTGGATAACAATCTCTATGGACTTCTTTTGAAATGACCTAAAACAATTCTAGAGAATATCTTTCCAAACATTGCATATCTAGCAGCAAAAATGTAGGACCATCAAAACTTTGTGACTGATAGACACAACGACGTTATCTGTTCACTCCAGCTAGTCGTTACTGTCAGGGGGAAATGTGCACATTCAACTAGGGGAAAAAAAGAGCGCAAAAAACAAACATGATGTAATATTTCACCGAGAGGGCTTTCAGCCATCTCTCCCGGCTTTTATAAAACTACCCTAACATTCTCAGTGGGTACGCAACTGACATTCTGACCGAGGCTTAACCGGCGTCTTTACATGACAGTCACTTATTCAGTGATTTCTTTATAGATCTTTTTTGGCTGTTCATATGCTCAGGATGTTCCACAGGTTCTCAATCAATCCGAGACTCAGACCGCGGTTTAACTAATTCAGTATAATTACATAGCGGTGTGTCTGATGAAATGTCGTACCTCCCATCCTACTCGGAGAAATTAATGGCAACGGATGCATCAGTGTGTGGATGTTTGCACCACTGTATTGAATGCAATTTCCTACAGCCGGTGCTTGTATTGCTCAGGATGCGGAGAACTCAATTTCCACCGAGTGTGCATCAGGTCTACGCGAGCCATACCTAACTTCTACGCTACAGTGACTTCAGTGAGAGGAAGTGGAGAAGTATATATGGCTCAAAGGACTTCAGATTATATGTCGCCTGGAACCTGAGATCAGTCTTGGAGTTGCAGTACAAGACGAATCGGTCGAGGGAACAATCACAGGCATGGCTCACACATATAAGATTGGCTTCTAGACTAGAAATACCAGCTGAAGTCAGATTCTCAGATTATCCAATGGGCGAACGGCGTCCACGTGTATGGCGCGCACATTCACCAACTGAAACAATCGTTGTTGCCAATCGCCTCAAGGAGTAAACAGGGGGAATAGTATTCGGTCGAAAAGCCACCCCGATAGACATTTTGCTTCATTCTCACAAATCCGTATCCCAGAAGACCTGGGTAACGAAGTGAACACCCAAAACTTGTACCCTCCGCTAACCTGTAGTATTTAAGTTGCTTCAAGGAAAAGTAACTGACTTAAAACCAGGAAAACAGATACTTACTTGGCTGCAGTTTTTGTGATCTACTCGGTCCATTTCGTCGGCGATCAGCACCAAGTTTTCGACCATAGTTTTGATCACCGTATGTTCATGGGTAGTGGACAGGTTTTTTTCCAACATCTGTGGGTAAACGTACAAAGTCGTGTATAAAAAATTTCTTATTTAATGAAGATTAATGCACTGCTTTAAACATAAGGTAGTGAAGGGGGAATAGGGAAAATGGTTGGCAGGTTATAAACGTTTCCGGTTGGATAGATGAGGAGAACATTGAATAGTCCAATATTTGGTTCGTCTACCAGGCACAATTTATGTTATCTCATGGGAAAATTGACCGCATGTGTATAACTACAAGTACCGGATTATATTTGACTTACCGAACCTGATTTTTGATCATACAATGTTAGAAGTAAGGGATTAAAGTGAAAGAAATTGCGATATTTATATGCTAAGTCTTCGGTTCAGCTCGAGGGGAATAGCTCTGTATTTCAGGATCCCCATTGGTCCGAAATCTCCCCTTCCTTGCCGTCTCACAGAATCCACCAATCAGAGTTGAGACAGAGGCAGGAAGCTTCATACGCTGGAAGACTAATGGATGGCATAGAGGGGGTGATTGCCCTCAACCATTTATCAGCAAAGCCGAAAACTAAAACTCAGGTTTATGTTCCTTCCTCAATTTGTATGAATCATACTACACCTGTCGCAGTCCATAACAAATCTTAATGGATTAAGATGCAAACACACTTCAAGCCTTCTGGGCTTTCCTACCATTAGTAGGACGTCGGTAGAAGGCAGTGTACCAACACGGGAATCACAGAGGGCACGTTTTAGGAATTTTTAGAGCCGAAAGAGGAAGTGATCGCATAAATCTATGCTATCTTGCCAACAAAAAGCATTTTATAAAGGTCTTTCCTCTTGAATTCATATAAACTTAGACTTAATTCTGTCGTAATTATTCTGCAAAGTCTGGAGGCTTCCGGGATCGCAGTCCCCCGTTAGCCCACAAGCAAGGACGGTCCATAGAAAAGTGGAGAATGAAAGACAGGAACTTTGCATATCGTGATGTATGTTTTCTTGAAAAAACGCAACTCACATGGTTGCCCAAACAAGCTTTTTAGCTGGAATTAAGTTGTTCCTCTCGTTAAAACCGTACCGATGTGAAAATGAGTGTATCACACGGAGCATAATCTATTTGCTTTTCTTCGCACCGTTGTAGTGAATTCAAAAGCGCCAGACAGCACTCCAAGCATATGGCAATGAGAACAGTCCGAAATTGTTTGCATATTATCTAGCCAGCTCGGAACATCATACGATATAGAGTCCAACCGTCCGGTCGACCGACGGAGGTTCTACTTGTTTTCAGTAGAGCAAGCAGGTTGCTACTTTCCTTGGTGAATGTTCCGAGGAAAGGGAACTTGCATGTAATGTCGAGATCAATAGTTTTGTGATTGGTTTTGTACCATCTAGCTAACCAACACTTTTTCTAATCTGCTTCATCATGCCTAATTTCTATTTTTGAAAACAATTGAGTAAGGTACTGTTCCTCTGTTCGGGACTTGAGTAGATGCGATTATGCCAAGTTTGGACATTGGAGCCATTGAGATGGAGCGAAAATATTGGTGAACTCGACAACGTATGTGGATACCAGTGTTATACATAGTTGAACTCAGCCGCATTCTTGCGATTGACAAACAGTTGTAAATTAAAACTGACTGTGGATTTTTATGGCTGAAAGGCCACAAAATAGCCCATTACTTGGCGAACTGGGGGGAATGAAACGTCTCACAGCGGTCGCTGTGGTTTATTTTATTTCAGGTTGTTTTGTAGAATCTTTATCAACATTATATAAGATTATTTGTGCAGACACAACACTTATTATGTTCAGCCTATACATCTTGCTGGTCAGATTGTTCTCATTATAGTTTGTTCTCATTCCCGTTTGGATCGAACATCAAAGTTCTGGAGATTAGGATGTCGCGTAGGATTTAAATACCTGTCATGTGCAAGTGGTGCAAGTTGTATGCTAGAAAATTGCAGAGTTCTTTCAAGTAACTACTCCATCTCTGACATGATGTAGAGACAAGCTTCATGCATAAATTCTTATCTGGTTCAACCTGGCCGACACAGATTGTTTAGTACTTGGACAAGCATTGCACGGTGCAAAAATCATGGCAAATTAGATGATCGAAAAGGTAAGTTATACAGAAATGTTAATTACATTAATACACCATTCTCATCCCCATGGTCATTGTTGTCAACACCACACCAGTAGTTATCAACATCATTCAACTCTCATATAGAAAAACAGTCATCAGGCAGTGTGACAGCAGGTAAGTAGTTCTTCTGAAAAAGGCTGAAGGCGAAAATGGTAGCCAAGTTTCCCTGTCCGTCTTGCCTGACGCAGTATATCAAGTACTCGGGTAGACTCATCAAGCGGCAGTTGAGACAGCACGAGATGATTCTATTGAACTAATTAGTGTTTGAGTGTTAGTTAAGATCCCGCGAAGTTGTCTACACTTGGACAGAAGGACGTTTGGGATCCTCGACCAAGGAGTTCAACTCACGTGCTTAGTTGGAAGGATTATCAGAACACAGGTCCAAATCTGACGGGACGTGTTTTCAAATATGTTCAGCCCTCGGCGAAGGAACCAGGAAATCGCACCTACCGGTTTCTAACCCAGGGGTAGCGATTTCAAGAGGGTGTTGGTTCCTAAGCTTTCTTATTGCCATTAATACTTTTGTTACTGGTAGGTCCACGGTAAATGCTCAGGTAAGTAGAATACTTATCTATTAGTTTGTTTCACTAAAAGTTGTCCCCTCTATTGGGCCCGAATTCACCATCTTTTCCACTTTCCTTCGCATCCGCACGTTGTCATTTGCAGATAGCCGGGTTTGTGACATCGGTAGCTGTTGGCACAAAACCATATAGTCGGCTTAACAAGTACGGCTCCACATTAGATGAACTTCGATGGAAATTCGGATAAAGATAACAAAGCCAGAAACTTTCATTTTATTTAAACTTATTTACCTTAAGTCAAGTAAATTCCAGAGGTGGAATCGCCCAACTTTAGGGCAAACTAAGACCGATGAATAGTTTGAAATGGAAACTGCCAACCAATGATCAACTGGTTGACTTAAGGTACGCTCTGCATCTTTTTCACCTAGGAAACTACTCACAAGTTTGCTGAAGAGTTTACAGCAACCTTGTCAGTAGTTTCTAGTATGAATATCTACTGCGATATCTCGAATATCGTACCAAGTGAAACCTAAGGCGGCCTTCGTGCAGCACATTCAGCTGAAGAATATCATAAATGAGAGATTTGGTTGAGTCTCCCGTGAAAACCAAATTGATTTGCAAATGAGTGTATTTATCCAAGTGGGCTCTGCATCGTCTTTTCAATTCTGGGGTAAACATTACAATTTACAAAGTGAAAAACTGTTTTCTTTTACTCAGTCTTTCACAGCTGACCAGGACATATTGTAATTCCACTGTGTTTACCTCGCCTGCCCACCAGCATCGAGGACTTGCCGTGACAGGAGTTTTATTAGGGTGGGAGTTCTAGGTTAAACTGTAGCGGTTTCTCTACTCAATGGCCTGCTAATTGGTTCTTGAGCATTCAGGTCAAGCAAGCTCCAATTAAGTGAAGTTCATCTTCAGAACTGAACACAGGGGCAATGTCACCGATTTCATTTCTCAAGAACGACACTCTCAGGCAGTTTGAAAAGTTTGTGCTGAGTTAGAAGAATTGCTTGTTTTTTTCAGATGCAGTCCATAAGTGGTAGCCGTATGCTTACACCTACATGTGAGCTCCTAACACTGGAAACCGAACAGCCCCCGCCCACAATTTAGTAGAATAGAACACCAACGGTGTCGTGCCTATTGATGCCATCGTCTAAAGGGCAACTTCCATTGGACACTGAATGACCAGGGTCGTGATTTAATTGGTTGATGAATGAACTGGAAGCCATCAACTGCTTCGCTATTACGAAAGGGTACGCGAAAGACAAACCGTTTAGACCAAAAGTCGACATCAACTTTTTACACTAAAAGGTGACAAAAGTGCTAAAAATCACACTGCAGATTAAGCATTTGAATACATGAAAATCAGTTTCAAGTTAAATTAGCATGTTTTACTTCTCGCAATCGCCTTAACTTTTTTCTGTCAAGGGCTTTTTCGTTAGGGTTGTGCACAGGAACGCTAAGTGCCGTAACGTGAACCCATCTAGTGTTCAGGGCCTTTTGAACCTTGTCTGTCTTAAAGTGGTGTTGGTCGTGGACATATGGGAATCAGCTATTCCTTCCTTCCTACACAGTCATTCAGGTTATGGGTCCGTTATACGGTGGAAGGTTATAAAAGTATTTCAACACTCCCAATATCTGGATAGTATCATCGTCATTTGACATCCGTTTCTCACAAGGCATACACAAAACTGCAGTGACAATGCAAAGTTTGTTAGGGGAGGCGTGGAAAAAACGAAATACCATGATAACCACCCAAATAGCTATGAAAGTACTTGATGGTAGAGAACAAACTTTCCTTTTCTCTCCCTGTCCCTCCCAAGAGGTGGGCGTAAGGTCAGCATTCTACGTGTACACCAATCATGATAAAAAATTCGTCCGAGTGTGCTGCTCTACAAACAATGCCCGGATTAGAAGGGGATCAAGTACGATGGGAATATGTTCAATTTGATCACAAGTGGCAAATTAACTTGACTTTTAGCTGCAGTTTGTACGTTTCTCTTAATACACATCCGAGATAATGATAGGGACAGTGCGCTTTACAGAAGCCCATTTCATGGCAGAGTATTCCTTATCGAGGAGAGTGCCCAGGAAAAACAAATTTTGAAGTGTGAAATTTACTCATCGTGATCTCCTCGAACGGCCGACCTGCCGAGAACGGAACGGGAGTCACTTCTTGATTTCTTAAGTATCTGACTTACTCCCAATACGGTGCCCCATGCCACAGACACCCAGAACTATTAGTTCTCGATCAAATATGTGCGTGAGCGCAACTTCTACACCAACCATCACATTACAGAAATATTCTTTCAACTCGAAGTCGTCTGACTTTGCCAATACTCTAGAATCGGAAAGGCACACAAGGGGATCCGTTAAAATATTTCGCGCTACGTTGTGCTAGTACGAGTGTATTGAACATCTGAAATATCAGTTGCAAAGAAATCGAGATTAACATTCGGTTCCACAAAATGGCAGCTAGGGGATTTCCAGTACATCGAGGTGCGCATTCGTGAACGGGCCACACGCAACGCACAGGAGGAAAAACTCATCAAGTAAACTACTTAAAAACCTTCAGAAAAGCTTCTTCAAGGAAAGGATACTGTAGTAATAGACAGCTGTGTTGTTGATATAAATGGCCAAATACGTTTAATAGGAACACTTAATTGAGTGCAACATACTTTAATCTTACTCCGTCATACTAAGCCTGAATTGTTTGCGAAAGTAGTCGAAAATAAAGTAGGAAAATCTAAGATTGGTTTCCAGGATCATACTAGACCCGGCGTGGCAAAAATCACCTGGAATCCACCTACCCTTTGAAAGCAACCAAGCTTCCGAGATAGCGGCACGCTCTACTGACAATCAGATAGGCAAGTAGTTTTTTCGAGACTGTATACTGACCTTCAAAAAATTAGTAAATCAATCTCGCAATTCGCAAGCAGACCTATAATGCTCGACAGTTTGATGCAATAACGTCTCAAGGGAGATCTGTCCAGAGATGCACCACTCTGGTGCACTCTGGAAAAGACACATTTGCGTTTCTAGTCAGGTGTAATACGGGGTAACATTTATCTTAAGAAGGGCCACGCACATAACAGGCAAACAGCCACGTTCCTCTGGGATGTTCTTTTTCAAAGGTTACAGTGTGCATTCAGCTTTGTTTTTTTTCAACGCCCCGTGCAACTAATAAATGTTGGGGTAAAACATTTTATTCACACCGAGAGAGTACATGCATTACAAATCAACTTGGCAGTAGCGATTATTCGAACTGGTCCCCCGCTCTCAGCAATCGTATAAGGGGTATGTTGTGCCAAGAAAAAATTTTTTCCTGAAATATTTGCTACCAAGTTAGTTGGTGCCATATTGCAGTAGGGCTGACGAAATGTACGGAAGACAAGTACGCTTCATCCCACTTTGGTTGCAGCTTTAAAGATAGTAAGCATGCTGAAGAGGATACACCGCAAAGGCTTCTTGGGTTCTTGTGTGATTTGTATTCCCTTTTTGTGGAAAAAGTACACTGACCTCGAACACTGGAAACATTTTTTGGCTTCTCTACAGGAGTGGCTGTTTCTAGACAGGGTTTCAAAGAGGACGATGTTTCTGGTAAATAAAGTTCTCATAAAACAACCAAGAATTGTGACAACGTTCCAATATACATCTGATAACTAAATCAATGCAATTTTAATGAGAAAGGGGTCCAGTGAGATTTTTGGAGATTTCGAATGCCCGACAGGGACAACATTGCCCAAATCCTTTGTTTTTGTCAAAAACTCGAAGATCTTCGAGCTTACCTTTTCGATTACAATCAAACCAAATCATGCATTTACTCGAGCTTTGATAGATATGTGACTGGAAGACTTGAAATCCACAAATCTCATTTCTTATTTGGTTTTATCATGGAACTGTAGATTGCAATCGATCTTGTTCTAACTTTAACTAAAGTGTGAAAATACACATGGCTGTTTTTATTATATATGATGTCAGTATTTATTCTGCGAACACAGCTAGACAACGGAAGAGCACCCGACTAATTGTCTTGCAAGTTTACAAAATATTCAGGGGCTTCTCCCTTGCGCTAGTAGAATTTGACTAAAAGTGTGAACAGTCCAATTTACACCTGCCCATCAGACAATGACCGATGCTACTCGTATCTGTAAATATCATTACATCTATTCATTCTAGTCGTACAGTCTCTCGTCACATAGGCCTTCAATCAACCTCACCTGAGTAGCTTGATTCAACGGGTGCTGAAATTCAACAGAGGAATGTTTTATTGTTGTATACCTCAAACAAAAACCATTCGAGTGTCTCACGGGAATTGAGTGATTTGTATCATGTGCTCCACAAGGCACGTGGCAGTTTTTCATTTTGTGCTGTCCTCTTCATATTCCACATATTATGAGTGGCAGAGCGACAGGCTTACGTGTAGTGTACGTGTCGGGTGTACAGTCATCTTATGTTCGATGCACACCCTGTACAATAAGCTTCGTGCGAAGGGGGGTTGATGTATTCAGTTCTAATTTTGGTTAATACACTACTGGACCACGGTTGTCTGCCACCAGCTATACGTGACGCCCTTAAGGTATATTGTGCTTTGACGCACTGGTCAAGTAGGCTCCCGTTTCAGTCCTAATCACATGTTAGAAAACGGTAGCTAAATCGCTTGGTTTGGCTGAACGCTGATTTCTGACTCCCAGTTGGATGAAACTCCCTCGCTTGTTGATCAAGCAGCTTTACGTCATGTGACAGAATGTGTTCGATAATGGAAAGCATTTTCCCTGTTTATGCGTTGTTTGTAGAGGACAACTTGTTACCTGTGTGTCAGAAAGACGATCGCCCATTGAGGATAGCAGTCCACCATGAAACAGCCGAATAAGACTAAAGGGTACAATTGCCTTTCAAGCAAAATCATCGCCCATCTAGAGATGGCTTATTTTCAGTAGCGTCACACACTAAGGGATAGGTGATGGAGAACTAATGTAGTAAGTTCTTTCTAGGGAGATATTTTGTAGAGATTTTACTCTACACAGTTTCTAGGATGGCGTCCGTAAAGGTTGCCAGAGTCATTTTCTCTCGAGAACTAAGCAGGACTCTGATTAGACAAACATATTGTCGCATCTCAGTTCTATGATTTCCAGAGAAATATAACTTCCAAAATGTTCTGCGTATACTGATTTCCTGTGCTGCTATTAGCGGTTGGATTTTATCGTCACGCTTGGTGAAACATTATGGGGCGCAACATTTGTCAGACATTTAGCAGTGCGCACAATATCTAGTGTTTCCATTATTAAATTAGTGCCTGCTGGCCAAACAACTGTATGTCTGGGTTTGGCAACATAAATGTTCTCTTTAAAAGACCTAGACGAGACTGAAAACTCTCTGGGGGAAAACTGAGCATGTCTCACTTTCCCAGTCAGAAGCATTTGGGTTGCAAGAATTTGCTGAAGCTTCGGCGTGTATGTGATGACCGTGACAGGATGAATGGTTTTAAGGCTGTCTGGAAAGGTACGAATGAGCAGCCATTGAAGATTCCCATGAGAATAGCACCTTTGGACGGTGTGTGACAGTACACATTTTGAAATTGTTTTTATTTAAAGGCCCCTTACTTCGTGGCGAACCGTTATTCCTTTATTAAAATCAACAAAATATTAGCGGGTGATCAAAATTTCCAGAAAAGG